GAGAGAGAGAGAGAGAGAGAGAGAGAGAGAGAGAGAGGGAGAATAATGGCTGTCCTCTTTTGTGTGTCTTTGGCCTGGCCTCGACCCAGTGTGTCACAAAGATTCCTTACAACCAGACCCACCCAGTCTGTTCAACTGAGCGTGAGGAATTATGGGACTGTTGTGTTTTCCCCCTTTTGTCCTGGGTAACAAACAGCGGAAGTGCTGCTATAGCCAGCTGTCTAAAATATGCATCTAATTCATTAAGTAGATAGATAGATAGATAGATAGATATAGATAGATAGATAGATAGATAGATAGATTCTGTCTGGAAATGTTTTGTTCTTTTTAACCTTTTAACAAATGGTTTGGTGGTTGGTTACAGTGCAATAAAACATCCCTCTGCTGTAGAGCAATTAAAACAGAATACTGTAATTATGCTGGCCACAGTACAGTAGTTAGCTCTTTAGGAAAACTATGTGTTAGACACGAATATCAGCTATAGATCAGTTTACATGTACTGTTTAGATTGGATTATTACAATGGTGCTGTCAATGCATGATGTATGAAATGCTTTAATATTGACACAGCCGCTGAACCATTCATAAAAGCTAATCATCTGCGACTATCAATCTCCCAAAATAGTGTCTCAGCCAGGTTGTCATAGCAGCTCAGGATCCACATTAGTGCATCTATCAAAATGAAATGTGCCGCTTTCAAGAGCCATTCAGCTCTGGCTTAATCTTTAAGGTTGTCAAAATCAATGAGGTAGTTTTTTTGTACCACTCAAAGACATAATTTAAAACTGACCATGATTACATGTTCCACTGACATTTCCCAGTCAAACAAAGGAAGCCCTTTTTCAGATGGAAGCTGACTGAAAACAGGTTTACTAATTATAAGCAGACTAAGCAAGAGAGCTTTCAGGTAAAACAGCTTGTTTATAGTTATGGTGACCAGTAAAGAGATGACAACACAAACTCTCAAAGCTTGTTTTGGCACACTACATACAAATGACACCTCTAATGAAAAAAAGCTTGAGGGACTTATTTCTTGCAGCAGTCAGTGTGCAAATTTCAACTTATATAATGTCTTACAAAGGGTCAATTTTTAAAAGGAAGTTCTAAAGATATTTTTCTGATCAAAACTCAAATATTTTTGTTTACATGTCTACCACAATAAGCCATTTTTTACACAATTTTGATGACCCCATCAATACAATTGACATGAATTTAGTGAATGTTTAGGAATGCAGTAGCAGACGACCTCAAAGCTAACACACATGGACTAAAACCCATATATTTGATTTCATACAGTTGTTGTGATATAATTGTGGCATAAGAATCAATAAAAATGTGAAAAACAATGACAGTATCTAGCCTATTTGTTTTGGTGATACATTATCTAATACCGATCCAAGCAGACAAAGCTTGAGCAGTGTCCCAGCTAACAATTTTTTGGTTCGCAGAATGTTCTGGAAACATAAATTTTTGGTTGTTAAAAATGAAACCTAAAAAGAACATTTCTATAATGTTACAAATTGGTTCCCCACAAAATAACCTGAGGGGAATCATATACTAAGATCAAGTATCTTCATAAACACAATAGTAGCCTAACCTAATTTTCTTTGTGACGGCCTGTTTGGTAACTTACCATGTGAAAATACACACTAATTGGCATTGGATGTTTCATGATTACTGAAAAAATAATGTTGAAATATTTGTAATATTGACCTATATTTATGCACTTTAAAGGGGTCATATGATGCGATTTCAAGTTTTCCTTTCTCTTTGGAGTGTTACAAGCTGATTGTGCATAGATAAGATCCCTGAAGTTGCAAAGACTAAACTTGTGGTGTTCGGCCAATCACAATGCACTGGGTCAGCTGGCCAATCAGAGCAGACTGCGCTTGTCGGAAGGAGGGACTTTGTAGAAAAGAAGCGTTTGAGAGAGGCGGGGCATAGAGGACCTACAATAATGTACAGTATTTGAAAAATAATGTTTTTTGAACATTAAAGCATGTCAACATATTCTGTTACACCAAATAATGATCTTTAAAAAAGCATCATATGACACTTTTAAGACATCCCCCCCCCCTCCCCCCACACACTTTTTGTTTGATGTTCCCAAAGCCCTGATTCTTATTTGCACCCTGATATTGGTACCACATATAGGCTTATACCATATATTAAGGAACTCTAACAACATCACGTGTAGGCCTATATTATGGAAATGCAGTATAGAATTAAATATCTCTATTATGTGTGTAAACTAATTGGGTGTCAATAAAGACTTAAACTTAATATGCATGTACTAACATAAAAATAATCTGTGCATACAATGCATTAAACGCGTCTGTTTGTGGGCGCGAGAATCAGGTTAAATCCATCCAGAGCACATTTTTGCCTTTAAGCCGTTTGGATGATAAAAAAAAAAGGAACCGCGCAGTTCACTGACGCCATCTTGCTTCTGTCAGCTAACATCTTTTCTTACATTCC